AAATCCTAAAACCATTTAAAATAAAATGTATTATCGGCGTACTACATAGTAGAACGCGCAACTGATGCAGGGTTAAGCTTTTCATCCGGTGAGGGTTTTATTCTTACTATTTTGGTTTGGTTTTATGTTTTATGTTTCAACTTAGTCTGAGTATCTCAGAACTTTTGGACATAACTCCTGTATATTTAGAAACAAGTTTCTAGTGAAAATATCTCTAAAAATATTTTCAAAATATAACTATTTTTTTTAGTTTTATAATTTTGCAGTTAGTTTGTAAATTTCTTGCTTTAGTGTTAACTTACACTCGCTCAACTATTAATAATTATTGAACTTAAATGATATTTAATTGGAAAAATAAAATTAATAATTAATATTATTATATTATAAATAGGTATTATTAATATACAGGGTGTAATGACATTCAGGATGCTTCATGAGTACAATAAATGGTGTTCATTTTTTAAAAATTTTAAAACTATTTAAAGTAGAACTATTATCTCGTTAAAAAATTGTTTAACGAAAAAAATAATTTCAGATTTGAAATCAGGAGTAAAAATCTTGTTGAATTGATATGTAACATGATTTTTTGGTATCCAGCCAAACAATATTGTATGTTTATTTCATAAAAAATAAAAAATAATTTTTTTCTCGAAAAATTCGTATAATAACAAATTAACAAGTATCGAATTATTTAAATAAAATAAATTAAACATTTAAATAATTAAGGGGATTGCATGCGGTCAGTTTTTAAGAGTTTGGTATAGGCAATATTTAAGGAAAAAGTGGTTTTAATACATTTTGATCATGCCAATCAATTTACCGGTTAATTTGAATAAGCTTCATGGTATTATTTTTAATATAAATTATTTTGTCTGAGAGTAAAAACCATTTTAGGTAATACAACATACATTTTTTCTTCCATCGCACAGGCTGAACCAGCGAACCGATAAGTATCCTGAAAACAGATTTGAATTTGTCATGAAGTTTACTTATGAACGGTCAGGGTACTTTTTTGATATCTTATTCTTACTATGTATAAAACACAAATTTCAAATTTTAAAATCAAATTTGGAAAGGGTTGAAATTAAAAATTGAAAAAAGTACCCTGACCGATCATAAGTAAACTTCATGGGAAATTTAAATCTGCTTTTAGATTGCTTATCGGATCACTGGTTCGGTCTGTGCAATGGAATACAAATGATGTGTTTTGACTGAAAAAACCGACCGCATGCAATACCCTTAATATAAAATTTAATTAAATCGTTTTGCCAAAAAAAAAAGAACACGTAGTAAGTACTTGTAAATCGTAACTGTTACTAAATAAAGCTAATTCAATTTTTTTTGGGCCAAATATTTTATTTTTATAACCTTATTATAATCTTCAATGGTAACGTTCGTATTAAGTTAACACTTAACTAACTGGTTTCTATTAGCACTTTTTCCATATTAATTTAACTAAGGTGACTAGGATGCAAATGTAAGTACAACGAGATCAAACCCAATTTCACCGAAGGTGTCGTTTAATAAAAACGACCCACCCTACTTGGAACACTCGTATCGTTCCAATGATGACAAAACGACTAGGGACGGAGACGACAGCTGTTGCCACAAAAGCAGCAGCGGCGACGACAACGACAAAGGTGCCAGCGGTAACTCGGGCAAAGACGAGGGACACGTAGGACCAGTAAGAGCAACAATTGGTTCGATAAATTGGGAAATTCGCTTTGATGTAGTGTGATTTGTTTTAACTGATGCCAATACGATCAAATAGCGTAACTAAACTAGTACCGAACAAGTACGGGGAAAATGCGGGCTTTGTATTACCCGTGGCACGTGGCACCCCCCCCCCCCCCCGTCACCAATCCCTAGAAATGCGTCCAACGCTGATATGTGATCTCTGTCAAGGTAAGCAGTCACGAGGCAACTTAGGAAATTCGAATGCGTTCAAAATGAATATGATATTAATTAAATAGCGTTTTAATTGAATAACCTCTCAAAACGATGTAATATTGTATGGCTTTAGCGGTTCAATTAAATTAAATGATCTTATGTAATATATAATCAACAGGCACCGCGCGGTTTTACTGTACACATTTCTTGAGTGCACAAAATGCGAATACTCCAAAATCACATATACTATAATATTATATAATATGTCCTTACAATACCGGGCGTTTCACAACGATTCGACAAATGAAATAACTTTTTGTTCTAGTGAATATTCTTGTTCAATTAATATAATTATGTATAATTATGCCGCCTACGACCATGTGCAAAAAAGTTTTTTTTATGCTAGCTTGAAATTATCTGGGCAATAATTATTCAATTGCAATTGGACCTCTTGCGACTTGCATTGATAACTTTTGTGGTCCTAAAAAGGTATTTCGTATACTATCCCGGTATACTACGAACAGAAGTTAAAATAATTGGTTTATATTTCATATAAATAACCTATCGAACGCTACAAGAAAGTTCTTTTAAAGATATTACATATTATTATATTAGTAACCTTTAAAATGTTTAATTTTATTACAACTAAATAATCGTACTGCATCATAATTATTATCAATCATTACTTATTATACATTGTAATTGTTGAAAAGGCGTTATACATACAAATTTTCTACCGTTAAACATACTTACGCAGAATACGTTTTACTCACTCCGTGATGATTTTCATTTTTAGAGTAAAAATACCTAAAAAAAAAAACGATATGTGACAGCTAAATATTTAAAATGACATTTTTCTACTTTTTTAAAATAACAATAACTATTTTTACATTATAATTTTCAAAATCAGATATGACAATATTATCTCCGAAATATTTTTACCTTTCGATTCCATAATAGATGTTTTTGCTGTAAAATCAATAAGGACCGAGTAAAACGCATTTTGGGTAACTATGTTTAGTTGGAAATTTTGTTTTAAATCGCAGTCAAGGACGCTGTAATAGTCCGAAAATAAATTAACTACCAAGAAAGAGTCCTAGTTACTTAACTAATAATTGTACATCACAGTTCAACCTTTAAATTAAGGTTTTGCAAAAATACCCAACTCCTTAAAAGTTTTATAATTTGATATTCGTTCTTCTGACAGATACTTTAGACATTTATTACTGATTATTGTTTTGAAAAATATATTAACGGCTTCCGTCAAAGGCCGGCAAATTATATAATTAGCTAATGAGTATGGGGTTTAGAGCTATACTTTTATGAGCTCTATCCATTTGTAGTGTGGTTTCCTGTCCACGATATTGTACAAAATCAAAAACAATATATTCTGTGCACCTTCGCCAAGTTAGTGGGGCAAAAAATAAGTTTTAAACCTATAAGTTCGTGTAGAAAAAAACACTTAAAAATTCCCTTAGTATTTCCCAACCGAGTCTATAATATATTAGTGTAGGTCATGTAAAAAGTTTAAAAGACACGTTAGAGTACACTTGTGTGAGTTGTCCTTCGAAAGAAATTACCGAGCGATACACTTTATAAACTTTTTTACTATGAATTTTTAACAGACTACAACTGATAGTAATTATAGAAGACACCGTGCACGTAAAGTGTATAGGCAATTTTGCTAGAAACAATGTCATTTCAAAGAGAATGTATTAAATGTATTCTCTTTAGGTGTGTCTATTTCAGGGCTTTACTATGAGAGTATTTTTAAATTATTTAAGTACGTGTTGTTGGGTTTGTATATATATATATATATATATATAACATACTCGCCTTGTAGTATATATCATGATCGATATTAAGGAAATAGGACTAAGTCACTAGGATTGCCGCATTGTAAAAACTCAACGAGGCGAAGTAAAACGAGCGTTCCGCACTTGTCAGTTGTCAGTTGAACATCACATTTAATATAAAAAAAAAAAACGGTACGTATCAATTATTAGTTGTAATCGTAATGTATTTATTTGCAATAATTTATGTAGAGATTATTGCTCGGTCGTTTGATATTTGTACTGGGAAAGATTCATAAATCAAAAGTGTTAGCTGTTTATTTATTTTATTTTTATTGTTTCAATTTTCAAGAATAATATGCGATTAGGTGTAATTACATATTATTACGATTATAATAAAATAGTTATTTTTATAAGCCCGCAAACCTTCTAAATATTAATGATTATTATTTAAACATTCATGTAACAAAATTCTAATTTCTCTCTTTCACTATAATGGATTTTATAGTGCATGTATTTAATAAGTTTAGCATTAGTGTAATATACATTTTACTGAAATAAAACCATGCTCTTTATAAATCAAATATTTCTTTTTACTATTGAAAAACAAATAATAACACTAATATGTAAAATTGATTTCAGTAATTTTGTACAAAAATTAAATATAATGGGTTCGGTTTAGCATTATTCTTCACTAAATTATACAATAATGTTGCAATGTTTTTATTTCAGGCACAAAAAAAACATGATTGATTTGTTGAATGATAAAAACAAAGCAACAATTGACAATGGATTCTTAAGACGGTTTTCTTCAGTTGTATGGTTAATTAAACAATGGCCAAAAATAAATTTCATACTAGTCACATACTCAGTCATAATACTTTTGTTCAGTATTGTTGGTCTCTTATACAAATATAAAAATAATCATAATATCGACAATTACAGGTTAAGTCAAATAGTAACGATTTATATTTTAGGTTTTGTATGTATACAAAAATATGTTACAGTAATCAGAAAGGCTAATAACATTTTCAACTTGTTAGATACCACATGTACTGTTTTTTTGTTGCCTCAGCAAGATCGATTGGATAATGAAACTATAATAAGATTCAAGAAACTAATTGCAACGTTTTTTTATAATTTGATTCTGATTTGTTTCACTGTATTTTTATGGATAGTTTTCCCAATTATTTACAATTTTAAAATGTCAAACAAAGATTCGGATAGTTCAACCACCATAAATGTCGTTAATTTTTATTATCCGATTTCCGACCAATCCTACAACAGCTATTTTTATTTTATTTATTTTATTGAAGCCTCGTTAGTCGTCTTGTTGACATTCTACAATTTTATTTTTGATATATTTGTATTCTCACTCTGTTTGGCAATAACTGTCCATTACACAATTATAATATCAGACTTGATGAAATTTGGACACGGCGGTAACGAAACAAGTAAGTGATGAAATTTATAAATATTAATAATAATACATACGGTAATGAATTATCTTAGTAAACTTTGTTAGTAAACTCTTTTGGTAAACAGCAACGTGTTTTTAGAGAGTTTAAGATTTCAGCAGCACAAAAATAGATTTGTTACAAAAAAAAATTGTTATAAACATACTTATTTATTTCACTTATTCGTCAAGTTATTGCTGATTTTATGACCGAATCATTCGATTGAATTTCAAGCAAACTTTACTCTATTAGCCGACAATAATTAAAAAATACCGTATCGCTACAAATGATCATAATGAAATCAAAAACAGAAATATCACTTTAATAACATTTTAAAATGATTTAAAAATACAGTTTTTTCCTGTAGTGTCCTCTAGACCAAATTTAAAAAACGTCTATTAACAAACAACTTAACTATAATTTGTATTCTATTGTCGCTTTAAATTTAATTTACCTTTTATGTCATATTATAGTTGAAGGTGACGAAATGTTTGAGGAATTGAAAACAATAATTTCATATAGCCAAAAAGTGCATTTGTAAGCTTAATTTTACTATCTACCTCTTGTCTAAAAATAATTTTAATACATATTTAAAATATATTCTAGTCTATATGTATTTTGTTTCCTATGTTTTTAGGCATATGAGAGAATTCTGTTCCATAGTTCGTTTCAGTGCGTTACTACATGTTGGTTGTTATTCTGGCTCACTTATAACAATTTCTTACAACATTGCATTGGTATTTTATCATTTTATTGTAAATTTATTTCACGCTTTTACCTATAATATCCATGTTGGTCTGTTTCACTTTGGTTTAGCTTTTAAATATAAGTCCCGACCCGTAGTTACTAACCACAACGAAACATGTTTTAAATGTCAATTAATAACAATAAATAGATACAATTCCTTAATGTTCATAAATAATATTGACCTGATCAATCATGATAATTTCATTCCACTGAATGTTTGATGGGAAAAGACAAGTTCCTATTTTCGAAACTAGTTTTATGTGCAATTTTCATTAGAAAATTGTTTATTAAAATTCATTTTAAAGGTTAATATTTGTCAGAGATTTTTTTTGGAATAATTTAACTTTTAAGAAAATAACTCTTTAAAATTGTTATTAATAAAAATGTGTACTTTGTCCTGTTAGATCTATTGGTTTTTATGAAAAATAGATTGTTAAGTTATAAGTTCTTGGGAAAAACTCTAAATCGTTAGGCGTAGTTTGGTCGTATGAGAGTGAGCTGTTTAATTTTAAACAAATTTAATTTCTAACAAATTTTCTTTTTTCTTCAGCTATTTTTAACTTACCCTAGTAATTGCATTGGCCTGTTGCAATTCATTGCGTCATACATCTGCATCGCTGTACAGTTATTTAATTACCTATACTTTCCGGACCTTATGAACGAGGCGGTAATACATGTTAAATAAGATAAAGGTGTCTATTATGAATACAAATATTTCTATGATTTTAGAGAGATGGTTTAAACTTTGGATTATACAGTTGTAACTGGACGGCAATGGACATTCGATTTAGAAAATTATTGCTGTTAGCGATGGCGATGAACAATGCAAATCAGTTGAAAATTAGAGCTACACCTACAAAAGTAATCGATTTGAAATTGTTTTTGAGTGTAAGTTTTACGAGAATGTTGTATTATTTACTAAGCATACTTAGGTGAAGTTTTTCCAAATTTATATTTAAAAAAATTAAAACATTACCAATCCCGTTAATTGGCGAATAAACTTAGTGATTGCACAAGACATTATAAATATATATTATTATAAGTATGTTCTCTGATAATTTGTTTTATGTAGATGCATACATAAAGATTTTTGTGAATGATCAATTGAATTTATAATAAAATATGTTTTCCAGGTTTTACAAACATCATATTCAATAGCAAATATTATGATGAAGTTATCGAATACCGATGATAATTAACAATTAAAAATCGATGATCGGCTGATAGAAACAAATCACTATTTATAATCTAGGTGTTAAGAAATCACTTAATTTTAGTTATAAAATAAAAATCACGTTACAAAATTTATAATTCGGTTAATAAATTTAAGGAAACATGATTGAAACATTATAGTTGTAACATTATATGAATATGTGTGTTTTCTGTATGGCATTATAACCAATAAAATATAATAAAACGCATAATTAGCTATGGCCCGTATTTGAAACAATTTTCAGTATTTTTCTGGTGTTTTATATCTCAGCTTTTTTTATTTTAGAAAAATGCATACATAATTTTTTAAATATTTTCTAGGTACTATATTAAAGATAAAACAAAGATTGTGTAGAATATTTGATTTATGCGTCTACCGTGATTTCTCTGAATTTCGTTCAATTACTATTGAACTACAGAACATTCATTACAATCCACGGCAATGTCAAACGAATTTTTTATTTAAATTAATTTTGATATTGTTAAAAGGGCAACATTTTCTAGAAACAAACGACGATACAATCATTTAATTTTAAACAAACCATTATACTTCATTAATAATAAACACAGATTTCCTTACTGTAAAATAATTTTACTTACATTATATTTGTAAAAAAATTAAATACAAAATTTAATTTTGAAAGCCTTTGAATTGGCTTTCTTAGTTATCAGTTTCAAATAATAATACTGCTATATTTGTATGACGTTATTGCAAATGTCAGGCGCTACAGATATTGGAAGGAACCAAACATTATCTGTAATTTAGGTGTTTAGAAATCACTTAATTTTAGTTAAAAATTAAAAATCACGTTACAAAAATTATAAATCAATTTAAATATTAAGGAATTTAAAATATTGAAACATTGTAATTCGATTACAGACGAATCACGTCTGTAACATACTTGATTTATTGTCCTTAACTTATTAAAGGTTGAAATTTCTAAAATCTGGACGTCAAACAGTAGTTCAAAATACTTTTTCATTAACCTTAAAATCGGCCTGCCGGCTTTTTAGTTTTAAACAAACGTTTTGTTTCTCTTTAATGACAATTAATTGTAAGGCCATATATTAATGTACAATACTTCGGTAAATATTTCTCGACACATTCAGATGGAAAGCGGTTTCGAACTACACATATTTTGTGATGCCTCCAATAAGGACTACGGAGCTTGCGCTTGCATACGCTCCACCACAGTGGTTAATTTGTGTGCAAAATCAAGAATCGCGCCTATTTAGGCAACTACAATCCCTCGCCTCGAGCTATGCACAGCAGCCTTAGCAACCCAGCTATTCAAAAAAATCTCGACTGCATTAAACGACCCAATTCAGAGGTGCACGTTTTGGACAGACTCATCAATTGTCCTAGCTTGGCTAAAAAACGTTAATGAGACTCGATGGAAGGTTTACGTCGCAAACCGTGTACAAAAAATACACGAAGTGACAGAGAGATATAAATGGCGACATATCCGTTCCGAACACAATCCAGCTGACCTACTCTCTAGGGGTACGACTCCAAGCGTCATTGCCAAAACATGTCTATGGTGGAGTGGTTCAACTTGTTTAATCGATCCACCAGAAACATAGCCAGACACAACAGCATCCATACCAACGGTGATTCCAGAACAACGGAAGGCAAAGATGACAACAGCTCTGGGTGTGTCAATTTCCGTCGCGAATAATAGCTTGATAAACAAGTGCTCGACTTTTGTTAAGGCGCAAAGGGTGATCGCCTTCTGCCTACGCTTCATTACAAGGAAGAACCTTAGATACAAAGGGCCACTCAGGGCGCCTGAGTTAGAAGTTGCGACAGTAAAACTAATAAAATTGCACAAGGTCAGGCCTTTCATCACGAGCTAATTGAATTGAAGGCAGGTAGAGAAATCACAAGTAAAAAGAGTAAGATAAAACAACTCGTACCCTTCATAGATGGAGATGGTATACTACGAGTAACTGGACGGTTACAAAAATCCAGTTTAAGTCATAGTGCACGTCATCCAGTAATACTAAATGCGAACTGTTCCATAATTCGGCTACTCATTGACCATGAACACAAAAGATTACTACATACTGGTGCCCAACACTTAACGGCATCTTTACACGAGAGATATTGGATCCTGATCTTGCGCAGAACTGTTCGAAGGGTTATATTCAATTGTATTCGATGCCACAGATGGAAAAAAAAACGCAGAACAGTTAATGGGTTCGCTGCCAAGTGTTCGACTTCACCCATCAGCAGCCTTTAATATTTCCGGCGTAGACTATGCCGGGCCCTTTACCTTACGATTCGGGTCAACTCGAAGCAAAATTACAACAAAGGCATGGATCGCATTATTTATATGTCTAACGACCAAGGCAATACACATCGAGTTGGTATCCGACCTGACAAGTAATGCCTTCCTAGCGGCCTTCAGACGGTTTACTGCCAGACGAGAATTGCCCCTTTAAATTTACTCTGACAATGGCACAACATTTGTTGGAGCTAGTAAGCAGATCTCGGCAATTATCTCATCTGACAAATTTATCGAGGAGGTAACTACAGAAACTGCCAACTCAGGCATTGAGTGGCACTTCTTACTTACCCATGCCCCACACTTTGGGGGAATATGGAAAGCCGGTGTGAAAAGCGTAAAATACCATATAAAACGGGTCCTGGGCGAGACACGTTGCTCATACGAAGAACTATTAACAGTCCTAAACCAAATAGAAGTCGTGCTTAATTCAAGACCACTTTATGCAGAGTTCGGCGACCCAGAGTCTTTAAGTGCGCTAACACCCGCGCATTTTTTGATCGGGAGGCCAATCACAGCACTTCCAAACGAAAACGACTCGCATACTAAATCATACCGCACTCGATGGGCCATACAATCTATGTTTCAAGAGTTTTGGAGCAGATGGATCAGGGAATATGTTGTCATGCTACAGACCCGTCCAAAGTGGACCAATAGCCAACCTAACATAACAGAAGGAACAATAGTGTTGGACCACATTAACAACCTGAACCCTGGACAATGGCCATTAGGACGAGTTCTGAAAATTCACCCGGGCAACGATAACTTTGTTAGCGTAGTTACGATACGAACCACTAAGGACTTTTTAAGGCCTATAACAAAATTATCTGTGTTGTCAATCGACCATTGTGACACGTCACAGGTCAGCAAATAACTCGATACCCTTGCCAGGTACCGATCATCACATAACCGAACCAACGATTTCGTAGTCAATGGTAAAACCAGCATAAGCCACATGTTTTTTTTTTCTTTTCCTCACACAGAGATGTAAATATACTTATTACACATAATTAGTTAGTTGAACAGTCGCATACACATTTATGTTGATTGTTAATGTTACGTATCAGCAGTTTATATAAATACATATGGTGGGAATTGTCTACCATACGCGAGTGCTACACCGGCACAACTTGTCATTCGTGTAATTTGGGTTTCATAATAAACATCAGCGAATATTATTATTTATATTAATCTAATTGTGTTTTACTTTCATGCTAAGGTATACCAGTTAATTTTGTTGTTTGTTTGTTTGTATAGTCACTTTAATATGTCATAAATATCGTTGCCAATATAAAGTATTGTTTCAAAGCTCCTGGTTGATATACATTGTTTAGGCGAGGAAACTATAATATTATATGCATATAATAGGAATATTGTACGTATTCATTGTAATCTGTATAGTATTAGAAATAGGTACATATAAGTATAGACTATGATAAGGAAGAAACATTAGTGAAAATCAATCATCACTCATCAATTCTATCAAATGTCTTTAAAAAAAAAAATTCCCAATTTCTAACATTATAATTTATAGCTGTAAAAATATAATATTTTATTTGTAGGGTTGACGTTTTTTAGTAGTTTACATACTAAGACTGAACAAAAGTAAAAAGAATAAAGATGATTATTCAAATACTTGTACCATTCCTAGGATTTTAGAAATATTTCTATTATCTCGAAGATAACGAAATACATTCTCAATAAATCTTGACCTCCCACTTAGTGTAAAACTAAAACTATACAAATTTAAAGAAATGCAAAAAAGTAATTAACGTTTTCTCAGCTAAGTGCCCGAGTTGTTTGAACTAATGGTAATATTTTATTTCAGTTATAAAAATTTATATTTTATCCAAATGTAATACAAATACTTCCACCTCACAAAATTTAAATTTAACTGTTTCTAGTATTCTAATTAGTTAATGAACCGTAATATGTTTACCGGAGTGCGAAATAAAAAGAAAGGTTGTTTCTAATACGTTTATCTAATTATGTGTAAATATTATTTCTATTTTATTCTCTTGTAACCTATTTTTTTTATTATGTGGAAGAAGGTTATAAAGTTTATAATACATGCTAAATTTTTTTCCAGAGAAAATTAGTGTCATCCTTGTTGAAGTATCTTGTACGTCGGGGTTAGCAATTATTATAGTTATCAAACAGCTGGTATTTGCTAAAAAAATAAGAAATACATTGTTAATTGTCAATTAGTGTCACTTTTCAGGTGTTTATGTGCGCAATTCCGACTGGATTAATATTTGTGTAAGTCATAAATACTTGCACAAACCTTAAAAACTATCACAACTCATCGTTTTCTTTTTAAATATGTTATAACAAACGACATTATCTTGTATCTGAGACTGACATTGGATACCTCTATTATTGACTTTCCTTGCTGTGTTATATCACAAAATAGAATCTGTATTTATATTAGTATGTTGCACAAGTGTTGAGTAAACTACAGTATACAATAATTATACATGTTATACTTGGAATATTTACAAATATTTTCGGATGTAACTGTTCCCAGGCGAGTGGTAGGTAATTTTGTGCGCAAACTAGGACCACCCAATATGTTATATGTACCTAAACATTATAAATACATAAAACGTTCTAATAAGAATATTGTGTGTTAAAGTAGCGACTTACCGTCAGGATTAATACGGCTATTAGAATAATAGCACCTACATAATAAATCATCAGTTAGTCAAGTTACACACAACATCATAAAACACGCG